CATTGTTAAGGGAGAATTTGTGAAAGAAACTATTTTATCGACTTTAAGTATATACTGATTTAATATGTCCAATAATTAAAGGTAAAAAGAATTAATATTTTATTATTTGTCTTCAAGGTTTCGGGAAAAAATATTTCAAAATGCAAATATTTGAATGTCCTTTTTACTATCAAAGTTTGTTAAAAATAAAAGAAAGTATCGGCATTTATGTGTTTACTTTTTCTCAAATTTAGGACATATAAATAAATATATATTTTAACAAAAACAAACTTTTTTCATAATAATAATCAAGTTTTTAGACAGTTGTATATACACAAGTTTTCATAATTTCTATTATTTACTATCAATAAACATTGTTATCAATGATGTTTTATTTGATATATTTAAAAGAATATTGATGTTTGATCAATTAAAATATTTTTTTCGAAATTGTCTTATTAAATAAATGTATAAGAATCTATACTTGATAATGTTGAAATATTTTCAGTACAATTATATTTAAAGGTAGTGCAAAAATAACTGTTGATATAGATAATCTCATCATTGATTCATTAAAAAAGAATGTATTATACTAACTCATTCATCACTGAAGTCAAAAATCACGAAATTATCCTTTTTTGTTGGTTATAGAAATCCGTGCTTTGTCAGTTATATCTAAATATGGATGTAAAACTAACTTTCTTTTTGATGCTGTTTTTCTCTGAAAAATAATTAAAGCAAAAAGAAATTTTTTGAAATAATTGACTATTAATTTTTAATTAACTTCATTTCCTGTTTGACATGTATTACAAATATATATATAATATGTTTTGTAAGTTTATAACAATATGAAACAGAATAACAAATAGATAGTTGACAACTAGTGATCTTCAACAAATTTAAAATCAACGACGCATATAGGTGTCACCCGTCTTCAAAAAGTTAATTATAAATGAGCATATTTAGATTAACATAGTTAACTAGAATTATACTTTAGATATTGAGAGTAATGAATAAGATATAATGTTAATAATAATATTCATCGTCGACATAACGCCTACACCCTTAAATTATTATAGACAATAGCGTTGATTTTAAAACTTTTTTTTGTGATAATATGTTTAATAAAAAGCGTAAGTAGTATTATGTATAAAAAAAATCATATTTTTCTTCATATTCATTACACATATAATCTTAAACTTCTTCAATCAAAAGATTTTTTTATTTTATCAAAAATAATGTCACAAATGGATGTTTGAGTAATAATACATTCTAAGTTATTACTTTTGCTCGTTTTAAATATACAATGCTTCAAGAACATTCGGATGATTATGAGGTAATAATAATTCTTATATTTTAAGAGCGTCTTTTTCATAATCCTCAATTAATAAATAAATATCACCTAAATTAACTTTTAGAATTTCGTAGTATGTTTAAAATATTCTTTAACTTCGAAATTCTTCACAAAATATTTGTAATCGATTTATCAATAGACTTTTAATGAAATATTAACCTTCATCAACTTCTATTTATCATACAAAAGATACAATCACAGCATGATATATAAAATAATAAGTATCTAATGTCACTTGTGAATTCAAATAAAAACATCGAAAAGAATAATATCTAAATTTTTCATATTCATTTTACAATGTTTTCAAAATTAGTCGATTGTCAATTACGATGGTATTTAAATTAATTAAAATTCACTTGTTTGCGAATTATTTATTATTTAATCATTGGAAAAAACAACTTGGTCTCATAAATTTTCATATTTTCTCTCAGAGAATTTATTTATTTCTAAAGTCAGAAGCTTCAAAAAACAATTACATCTTTTCTAGGGTTTGATGATCTGTTTTTTCTTCATAAACCAGAACCCTCAGAAACAGCTCAATGTCTTTTCTTGATGAAAATAGTCTATTGAAAAATCAATCTTATCGCTTTTTAATGAAATTGACTAGTAGTCAGTTTCTTACTGGGTCATATATTTCTTTGACAGCTCCTATTCATTGTCGCCTCTATTCTAGAAGTTTAATTAATGTCGCATTTTCAATATCCCCCAGGAAATTTGATGCAACCTTCTAGTTATTAAAATCAAAAGTGCGAGTTCATTGCACAGCGTTTACATCATCGTATAATTGTTTTTAGAGCTTCCCATTGTAGTATTTTCTATGGACTTACTATAACAATTAGAAATGAATAGATCTTCTGAGAAGAAAAATAAAAAACTATGGGGACAAGCTTTTTTTGTGCAAACTATCTTTAGTAGTTTTTTACTTGTTCGTGTACTATACCAAAAGAAGAGAATAAATCAATGGCGAAAATATTATCTATTTCATTTTTTTATATTTTCCTTTATTTAATCGTAAGTATCTGCATATTGTTCAATGTAATATGTAATCTATATTGATTAGCAAGACAGGTTAGTCTTCAAACATCAATATTTCGTGAAAATTATCGTGCACTTGTCGAGTAGAAATTAATGTTCATATAAGCATCAGTATAACATAATACTAATAGATTAGTTTCTGGCATCATCATTAAAATCCATTCGAAGAGGCGACAACTATTCTTCTTATGAGATGACTACATACCTTTTGGATAATTTGTTGATAATATATAATACAGTAGATGTGGAAAAAAATGATGATTTACTCGCTCATATTTTCATTCTGTAAAAAAATAATTTTTCTTTAGTTTTAGATTATTTAAAATATAGTAAACGAAATATAAGATGGCACCATCAACTAATGACCTTGTTCTATATGGTCAATATGTCAATAAGATAGGAGGTATTTTTTTATGGTTTTTTGGTGTATTTGGATCTTTGGCAATTATAATTATTTTCTCATCAAAAAAAGAACTTCGTCGTACTTCTTCTAGTCAATATATTCTTGTTGCAGCAATTTGTGATTTCATCTTTTTGGCTATTGCACTTGGTTATCGTATTATGACTGATGGTTTTCAAGTTCAAGGAAATATTGCTTTATTTTTCTTTAATCCAGCTGTTTGTAGAATTCGAAGTTATATTACTGGTGTAACTAATTTCGCTACTTTATATACAAAATGTCTTTGTACTATTGATCAATGGGCATCAACTTCTCGATCGAATAAAATTCGTCGATTCAGTTCTATCAAATGGGCACAATTATTTCTTATCATAAATACATTTATATGGGCACTTATGCAAGTACCTCAATTACTTTACAATGATATCAGCACGGTAAAACGATACATATTTTCTAGTAAACAATTTGAAATACATAGATGTATTTTTATTCTTTTAGAGTTCATCTGGTGTTATGTCTTGTGTTAGTACATCAAAAGGTCTCACATATGCATTTGCTTATTTTCTTCTACCAGTCCTCTATTTCTTTATACCATTCATTGTATTAACTATCTTTGGCTATTTAACTTACAGTCATGTTAAAAAATTAGGTCAAAATTCTTCGAATCAAGGTCGTTTTCAACGTATAGAACGACAATTAACTTCATTGATCATCGCTCAAACATTAGTCTGTATGGTTACTTCATTACCATATGGTGTACAATATCTTTATACAGGAATTACACTTACTCAAGCGAAAGATCCTTATCGGCTAGCTTTGGAAACATTTATTCAACATGTTGTTCGACTCAATTTATATGCTAGTAGTGCTGCTCCATTTTATGTCTATGTTTGTTTATCGAATGAAATTCGACGAATGGCTGTAGAATTACTATTTTGTAAAATAATCAAAATGAGTAAAATTGCTCCTTCTCAAATAATAGACAGAACACTCGATCAAACAATAACAATTGAAAATCATCAAATGAGATCAAGAAATCAAACAACAATGAAATAATGATGTATAAACTTCTTTTTTTGTTATTCTATCTTAATGTTGTCAATATTTTTAAATTCAAACGAGTTTTCATAATAGAAACACGTTCTCAATACAATTACAAGAATAATGTGAAATGTTAAATGATACGTCAGAGAATAGAAAAGAATGATCTTCTGAATACTCTCATACTATGGTTTGTGATTCGCCGCAAGCTCTAATTAATCACATCGACTATGTTTTGCTCTATGAACTAATCTACTTATGAATGTGAGTACAGAATCAACTCATACACATATCCTCAAGATGATTGGATATATTCTATACGTCAAAAATCTATCTTGTTTAGCAAAGAGAAGGAAGTGTAACGAGTCAATAACGGAAATTGGAACCAATATGTTATAATTGAAGTTAAAACAAAAGTCTAATGTACAATTACTATTGACATCAACGATATATTGACACGCGTAACTGATACTTTTATAGAAAATATATCTAATTATTTTTCTCGCTTTCATCTATCGTCTAGTTTATGACTTTATTTTTAGTCCTAATCAGAAGGTTTATACTCGAAATATAATGATATACTAAAAGATCATGTTAGATGATTAAATTTTTATTTTTATTTACATTCTGACCGATAAGTGTGTTAATATTTTGGTAAAGAATAAAAAAAAGGATGACTAAGATGTTTTTAAATTGACTAATAATTACTTTTAAAAAAATTGTTGTTTATTTCCCGAATAAAACAGTTTCAGCTTTCAAAATAAATTATTTTAACCACTTGCCGATCTGTAGAATGTATGATTTGAATTGAAAGTAATACAATAAAAAGAACACAAGATCAATTTACATAAAAAAACAAATTATACTAACTAATGATAGAATCCAGCAATCATTCTGTTTCTTGCTTTTACAATCATAAACATTAGATAATAGCAAGAGATGCCAGCAAACAAAATGTTTTTGATACAATTAATTATTATATTCATTATTGAAGAACCATTTGGTAACTATACAAAAAGATTTCTTGTCTATCGTAAAATTGAATCACATCAGAAGAAAGATTATTTATTATAAATCCAGTTAGTACTGCTAGTGCTTAATACGTTTTATTTCAGAGCAATACATACCACTTTAAAAATATGTACTGTGGTGATAATCATATACATGAATATATATCAAACATTCATTATAATATAATATAAGCACTTGGAAAGTTCGTTAATCTATCGACTTCTGTAAAACTTTCGTTCCCAACAAAAAATCTATGAATCATGATACGTCTCAATCTTTTCTACTTGCTTCGTATATTTAGTTTAAAAAAAGCGATCGATCTCATGAATTGTAAACTGAGTGTTCTTTATCTTCAGCAGAAGTGTTCGTGGAGTACTTGTAGTTCGAGAAATCTGTCATCGAATCGAGTCTTGAAGTGTAGAAGCTGATTGCAACATTCATAAAGCATGTATAGATCAAAATGCATGCTCCTATTTGACTGATTTTAGTAATATGTTCTTTGGAAATAGTATGTCACAACTTTTTCTAAACGTGAAGTTTGAATAAAGTCGCAATCATCTGTATTCATTTCTTTGTACAGGATCTGCTGGTTTATGTTCTGACAACAGCACAAATAACAGTACATCAGTTTTTTTGATTACATTTGGCTCCAGTACAAATAATTATTCTAATAGCACACCTTCTAGTTTTAATTTTACTACAAGCCATATACAAGTAATTAATACTGCAATACAAGACGGATATTTTGGTTTCGTGAATGCGGTTCCTAATCACCATAAAGTATGGCAGATTGGCAAATTAGATTATGCAACGAACGAAAAAAATGGATACATGTTTTTAGTTAATGTAGCGAAGGAAAAGAATACTGTAATTTTCAATTCTACTATAAATGATCTTTGTATTGGATTACGTTATGAATTTTCTGCGTACTTAGCAAATGTGGATATACCACCGACTGGCTCTCGACAGAAGCCAAATGTCCGCTTTGAAGTTCGAGCTGCAACATTTCAAGTTGGTATACTAAAGAACTCATCAACGGGTAATATACCTGCAGAAGACTATATGCCTTGGAGAAAGTATGGCGTTACATTTATAGCATCAAATAATTCAGTCGTTCTACTTATTATCTCAAATGTTGCAAGCAGTAGCGCGGGCGGAAATGATTTAGCCATTGATAATATTGAATTACGTGGTTGTTCAAATAATTATTCTAGATTGTGTCCATCAGGTTAGTATGCCTACTACTTTCTTTAAACATAAGACGACAGATTTGTTTGATATTTTCACATCATCAGTTTCATGCATATTTATTCTTTCCTCAAAGTGACTAACTGAGTGCATTATGCAATAATTAATGCGAGCATGTGAAAGTATTGATATTAGTCTATTGTTTTTATCTGAGATGAACACTCTCATACACTCATCGGCACATACCATAAAGATAGAAACTATGGCTAGCAATGATTCTAACGGATCCGAATCTTATAATGTGCTGTTGCATCGGCATTATATTTTTTTGTCAAAATCCACTTTCATCTGTATTTGTGGGAGACTGCATCAAAGGTGTAGAAATAATATAATAGCCATATCTCTCTACAACCTTCCTTGTGTGTAGTATAAGTTATCAAGTAAATATTTTTCTTTAGTCTCATATCCTACACTTTTACTAATCATACACATTACGCAGAGTCCTAGCTTTATATATAGTTATATTTTGATAAGAATTATAAAAAAACAGTGTAAGTAGCGAATTCAAGTAGATAAATACCATTTGATTTTATTAGAAGAAACTACGACATCACAACATACGTCATCAGCAGCAACAACAACAACTATTGGGATGGGTAAACAATAGTCTTATTTCGATTATCTATATATTTTGATTCTATTAGCTGAACATTCGACATCACAACATATATCATCATCATCGACAACAACAACAACAACAACGACAACTATTGACATGAGTAAACAATAGGCTTGTTTTGATCATCTATATATCTTGTGTTTATTAGATGAACCTTCAACATCACAACATATATCATCATCGATAACAACAACAACAATAACTACTATTGGCATGGGTAAACAATAGTCTTGTTTTGATGATCTATATATTTTATTTTTATCAGAAGAAACTACGACATCACAATATATATCATCAGCAGTAGCAGTAACAACAACTACTGACATGAGTAAACAATAGTCTCGTTTTGATGATCTATATGTTTTGTTTTTATTTCTAGTAAAACCTTCGACAAATACGTTGTCTACATTCGTCTTCAACACTAATGTTATAACTACTCTACAGAAAAAGGGTTTGTAACAATATTGTTATTGTAGAATCTTTTCGAAATGCATAATCATGAACAAATAAACTTTCTTGATAAAAATATTTCGAGTGTCAATCATTGATATGCTTTTTGTTTTAAATTTTTCTGATGTATAATCGAAGGCGAGTGTAAAATAAATAATTCAGTAAGATCGAATCTTTTAATGCAATTAACTAACATCTTTTTCTTTAGAAACAACTACAGTTAAACAATCAAATAGTACGTATTAGTTTTTTCGTCAAAAATATTCTTCTCTTTTCGTTGATAGATGTAACTTTAATGACTACATCTAATACAGGAATACTTCAAACTACAATAGTAACACAAGTTTTAAGTTAGTTTTATTTAACGATTGGAACTCATCGACATCTTCATTGTTTACTTTAGCTGAAAACTCAGTATCAATTTTTGTTCCAAAATCTTGCAATGATTCATCTTATATTGGCGTTGATTGTAATATCCTTAGTAGTCCATGTCACATGATAAAACCATGTGAGAATAATAGTACTTGTATTAACAATAATACTGTAGTTCATGGATATACATGTTTATGTTCATCTGGTTTCAGTGGTATACAATGTGAATTTGATCATCGACCTTGTAAAATACATACTTGTTTCAATCATGGTACACACTTTTTGTACATTCTTCTATCTACGTATGTGAAACTTTTTTTTCTAGGTGTATGTAATGAAACATCAGATACATCATTTCATTGTATATGTAATAATGGATGGCAAGGTGTTCATTGTGAATCAATGACAAGTTATTGTTTAAATATCACTTGTGAAAATAGTGCTATTTGCCGTCGGTTATTACTTAATTATACATGTGAATGTCTTAGTGAAAATTATTACGGTCGTCATTGTGAATTTAGTACAACGAAAATAATTGTTTATAAAATAGTTTCAAAATCATTCGCTTATATTGCTATTATTGCTATGACAATTGTTGCAATGTTTATTATAATAATGGATATATTAACGTATTGCTTTGGTATTGATCTAACACGTGAAGAACGAGAAAGATTTCGAAGAGAAAAACGAGGAAGAAAATGGAATCGTCCTGTTAATCAAAAACTTATATATGTTAATGCACTACCAGAACCATTAAAAGCACCAATTCCAACTATTGAAGACACAACAATTTAGACTAAAACTGAATACTATGACTACTTTTTGTCTATATACTCTTAAAAATGCTTTAATGTGGATGTGAATCTATGTTGTTTATTCGTAGAAAATAACGAATATAATCCTTAAAAATGTGATTGTGGTTTTTCAGTAAACAGAAGTATTCTTTAGAGCTCGATTGTTTTTCACTGTAATGAAAATATGAATCAACTCATTTATCTCTGACTGTTAATATAGTTATTCTAGGGTTGACTGTTGATATTTGAATTATATCACACTCACACTTGCAAGAATCTTGCTTTCATCATCTTTACATGCTTTATCCTATTCATGTTATCTTCGAATTCTGTTATCAATCTTTTTGTTGCATTTATGTATACACTTGGATTTTAGAGAATACATCGAGTTTATTCTAGAAGTTTCGAAGTTGCATTTAGACGTATATTTATCAAAATTCTTTGTCTATTTGAAGTTGGACAACAGAAAAGAAGATCACATATAAATGACTTTAGATAAGATGAATACGATTTCCATGCCTCCACTTCTGCCTCATCCAACATTCACACTTTATCAACATGAACCAATCTACGATCCTGATATTCATTTATCATTGACTGAACCAGATTATGTTGTATTACTCGACAAATTTCAACGTGTTTCCAAAACACCAAAAGTTGATCGATCCGTAACATCGAATGTTGATGGTCAACTTGCATACACTAGTCCATTTCAAGTATTAAGTGATAAAGGTTATCGAGTATTGCTTATGATCATTGATCGTGACCAAGCTTATCAAAAGAATGACGATATTGCAACTGTCCACATTCGTGATTGTGGATATCGAAGTAAATGGATTCAAGATTTCAATCGATGTCCACGTGTTCTTAACCATTTATCGAAAATAACTGGTGATGTACAACTTCTTCCAGTAGCCTATCAAATATTCTATAGTCAAGTAAATATTGGATTTCCTAATGGACTAAATGTTACTCAATACCATTGCGATAGTGTACCGTATGTTCTCCTTTTACGCGCATCCGACATGAACAAAACAATAGGTGGTGATTTAGAGATGATCGAACGTGAATCTAAAGAAGCATTTCATCTCATTGAGCAACATAAAGGTGAAGTGCCAGATGAGTATACTCGAAAGATCGAATATGGTGATATCAATTCATGTATACTTATGCAAGGTAAGAATTCTAATACATTTATTTCGAAAGATTAATTTTACTGTTTATTAAGGTAGTCGTATTGCACATCGAGTCACACCTATTGATTCTTGTTCGGAACCTCGAATTACTGTAGTCAATTCATACATGACAAACAATCCATATGCCTTTGATTATGCACGATATAGTTTTTACAAGAAGGAATCGACAGCTGCGTTAGAATATGCAATGCATAAGGTATGGCGTGCCAATGGGCAAATGCTTGAACTCGCCACTGGTGATCATCCATATCCGACAAATGATGAAATCATTGAACATCTTACAATGGCTATCGATGAACTTACTCAAGCTCGACATCTTATCTCTGACTCAAAGTCGGATCAAATCGGCTATTTTGATCAAAAGAATCAAGAATTACACAATGATCGTTCCGTCGATACTACAATGATGTGAACTATTTTATTAATTTAGTATAATATTAATAATTGACTTTTTTTTCTTACTGACATAGATTTTCGAGTAATAAAATTTTTTATTTGATAATATCAAAATAATATTCCATAAAAAATCGCTATATTTTTCAACTATTAAGAAATAGTTGTTTTCATTGGAAAGAAGCTTCGAATAAAATGATGATAAAGACTGTATTTTATAGTTTACGTCTGGTGTTCTACTAAAACACAAAACAATTATCTTCCTATCTTATGAAATTATTCAATTGCTCGAGTTGGTACTTTTGCAAAACACGTTTACAGCGTGTGTTATGTTTGCGACGGACGCAAAACAAAAAAAACAGGTGTTTGCATGATGCAGCATAGGTAAAAGGACAAAAGATAGATAACAGTAAAATAAATACTTTTTAACTCTGTAAGTTAGATAAATAATTCTTCTTTTTCTACAGAACGAAGTTCTCAATAGTGCTTGATAAAAAGTATCTACTGTCATCATCACACAATCGAAAATGGGAAAGTTAGACAATAAAATTGCTTTGATTACTGGTGGCTCCGAAGGTATTGGTTTGGCCACTGCTCAACGTTTTATTGCTGAAGGTGCCGAACATGTTTTTATTACTGGACGTCGACAACAAGCACTCGAACAAGCTGTGAAAAAAATCGGCAAAATTAATATTACTGCAGTGCAAAGTGATGCATCAAATATGAATGATCTTGATAAATTGTTCGATATCATTAAGAAAGAGAAAGGTCGTCTAGATATAATATTTGCCAATGCAGGTACTTGCTTGGTTGCACCACTCGGAACAATTACTGAAAAACATTTTGATGATACTTTTAATGTTAATGTCAAAGGAGTTTTGTTTACCGTACAAAAAGCCTTACCAATGCTGACCGACGGTGGATGAATTATTCTTAATGGATCGACCAGTTCTGTGAAAGGAGATCCAGCTTTAAGTGTATACTGTGCAACAAAGGCAGCTATTCGATCTTTTGCTCGTTGTTGGACAGTCGATTTAAAGGATCGTAGGATTCGAGTGAATACTTTAAGTCCTGGAGCGATGATACACCTTTACTAAGAAGTCTTGGAAAAGATGAAGAAGAAACGAAAACTCTTATGGCCGAATGGCAAGCAGCTGCACCATTGAATCGTATTGGAACGCCCGATGAAGTTGCTAAAGTCGTAGTTTTTCTAGCCTCGAATGATAGCAGTTTCATTACTGGTGTTGAACTTTTTGTCGATGGTGGATTGTCACAAATCTAAGACATTGTATTTCTATCATCTTAATAATAAACAAACAAGACTTTATAAGAAAATAGTGTTAATAATATGATTTAATGTCTGATTTAGAGCGGTAATTTATTAGAAAGCGAATGAGGGTGTGTATAATTAAAAACAAGATTGAAATTCTAACATAAGCAAGAAGAAAAGTGTGAGTGAGGAAAACCATATAAACTGCAATCGAATGCTAAAAAAGGAAATCCATTTTATTTTAATTTTATAACGAAAAGAAAGTTAAAAAAAGAGTTAAATAAATCGTTCAAGTGCAATAGCTTCGGCTACATCTGCTGATTTTTCCCAATTGATAAGTAATGAATGAAGAATGCTTTTAACTGTTTCAGATATTTCTTCAAATGTTTGTCCAAATCCAGCAAATTTAGCTAATATAATAAATTCATCTGTTGAATTAAATGTTGTACGTTCAATAATAGAATTTAATTTCAAATCTTTTGTAATTTGTTCAATAATACCAAAATAATGTTCTTTAAATATACTTTTATACAATACAATATGTTGACTATCTTCAACTTCGTCTTCTTCTTTTACTTCATCAGTTTTATTAAAATAAATTTCAATCTTATTTTCTTTTATAAATTGTGGAAATGGATTAAATGGTTGCCAATATTTATTTTCATTTTTATATATATCATCAAGACTTGCACTAATCTCTTTTAATTCATCTACTGATAAATTTTTCTTATTATTCTCAATAATTGTTTCAATAAGTGTAAATAATTTTTGAATTTCATCATAATTTGTAATTGGTTTAATTTCTTTATCAATCATCGATAACACATTAGGTCGTACTTCAATTAATTTTAATTTAAAATCATTAAGTTGATTTTGTATTAAATTAATATCTAATTCTTTTTCTTGTCCAGACGGCGAATTAAAAAATGTTTGTTTAATAAATTCGGATAATTTTAATTTGTATTTTTTATCATAATTATCCCATTTATATAATATACAATTAAGTAATTTATCAACAAACTTTTTGTTTTGAAAATTCCTTTTTAAATGTATTGATAATTGATTAATACTACCAACACAATATCGACGATTATTAAATTCACTTAAGACATGTAAAATTTCATTTATTTTATCTTGTTCAATTGGTTCATTTGTATCACGTATATGTTTACAATAACGAACCATTTTTTCATAATAAGGATAATATATTTTATGTAATTTATATAAATATTCTTTTTGATCGATTTTTTTTGATTTTGATTTATTTTCACGTAATGATTCTGTAGCTTTAAGAATTATTTTATTTAATGTTTTACATAATAATGCTCGAATATTTTTTTTAAGTATTGTTAAATCCCATGCAGTATATTCAACATATTTCATAATTTGAACATACATACCCCATTCAAAATCATCTTTTGGTAAATCTGGACGTGTATTATACGTAAATAGTTGCCAGACAAATGAACAAGGAACATTACCAGAAGCAGAATATGTTAATAAATTACATAATAAACATCGAATGTTAATACAAAATGTATCATTAAAATTATTAATATCAATATCATTTTTTCGTTTTTGAACTAATTCGTCAATAGCTGCTAATGTAATATAGATTAAGAACCATGTTATATTTTTATCTTGTGGTTGAATATTCAATTGTAAATCTCTTAATACTGAAGCATTGGATATTGTACCTCGTGATATAATACGAAATGCAGCTATATCACTATTATTTGCTTCAGTTATCCAATTTAAATCATAAGGTATTTGTAAATTTTTATATTTATCAATTAATGGAAAAAACCATGAACTTGTTCTTAAACCATCATAAGTAGATGATACTGGTAAACTCGTTACAATTTCATCGGTTTTTTGTGGTCTTATAGGATCCATTCTTTCACATGCACTTTGTTCCAATAATATAGATATAGTAAATGAATCAATATTGAAATCACCATTTCGACAATTAATAAGTGGTAATATGGGTGCTGTTAAATATTTACCAATTTCATTATCTTTTACAGCTTTCAACATTTGAATTAAATTATTATAATCTAAATTTAACCATAATACACCTGATTCATCACATAATTTTTCTAATAAATCAGTAAAATCTTGATAGGACATATTTAATACTCTTTGAACATTTTGTTTAATTGTTTCTTTTTTTTTCAATTGAGCTAAATTAAATTTAATAGATGATTGTTTTCGTTTTGATATTGATAAACCGATTTTATCGACTAATTCTTGTGTATTTCGTTTTAATATTTTAATTAATCCTTTTATTTTCGCTGTTTCATTCGCTAATTTTTGTTTATTATTCATATTTGATTCAAGATTATTCATATAGGATTTTTTATATTCACTAATAATTTGATTAATTTTCTGTTCTAATAATAAAACTAATTCATTTGAATATTTATCCATTATTACACTATCATATATTCTTTGACATTGAGACATAACATCAAGAATTTTAAATTTATTATCAATAATTTCATCTAATGTCATTTCAATCATTTGATTTTTAAAATTTGTAAATGATATTAATTTTTTATTAAACAAAACTTGTTCTTGATTAATATCAACAATAGAATTTTCAAATGTATTATTTTCAATATAATTTAATAATTTATTTTCAATTATATCCGTTATATCCGTACCAAATAATGGTATTGAATCAATAAAATTCTCATATTGTATACCATCAACATAAAAATATTGGTAATTATTTGTAATTGGATTCATAATAGCAATAACAACAAGAGATAATGGCCCAGCATATGCTGTAATGCCATTCATACATGTATTTTCTAAAAATTGATTTCGTTTTATATCATCTAACATTATATCATCAACGGGATAATCAACAATACATATATAAATGGCATTAATTTTTAATTTCGTTGATACTTTACGACATAAATCATCCATTTTACCAATAAGAAATATTGGAATTGTATTTCGAAAAATATTTTCACGTATATTTTCAATTTTATTTTGATTTGAATTTAATTTTGGTACAGTTTTACTTGCAAAAAGTATTGCACCACCTTCCATTGGTAATAAATTAGGAAAATGTTGTTGACCAATATTTAATTCTTCATTTGAATCAATATTATGATATTCAGAATGTAAAACATATTTATCATCTTCTTTTTTAAGTACAATATGCGTATTCATTGATCGGATTAATATATCCGGTTTGATTTTCTTTGTAAAATAATCAATTTCATCAATACCACTATAGATTAAAACAGAATGTTTATCCATTGAAATATTTGATACTGGTAATATGTTAGATGCTGTAGGATTGACTACTATTGATGAATGTGGAATAATTATTTCTTTTTTTTCATCTATTGATTCGTCAGTTGGTATATCTGAGCTAATCATATTAATTGATTCAATAATTGTATCTTTAGCAAGCTGTGATAAACTTGGTACATAACTATCACAAGATTTTGTATTGGAAAAAATTTCAATTAATAATTTTTGATTTGTACTATCTTGAACATCGAGACATGTAATACCAATAGGTATACATATTGTTGATTTTCCGATAGTAAATTCATCTAATGGTACAGAAACAACATAAATAATTTTTTTTTCATGATCAATTATTGTAACAATTGGTCGTCGTTCAATATATCGATATAATGGTGTATTGTTATATCCAGATATAATAGTTACATATTTCATTCCATTCTTAAATTTACCAGATATACAATGTAATAATGAACTAACAGTTGAACTATTTATTTGAATATCACCTGAATGTATTAAATCATCAACTTTTCTATGACTATAATCTAAACATTGTTGATTAGAATCATTTGAAGATAATCCAAGATCAAAATATGTTGGATAAATATCAGAAATTGCGATTATTGTTGGTAATTTATCATTAATTAAATTTAAAAGAAATTTATTACCACTATCAACCATTTCACATTGATATTCATCGGGATTGAAAGTTAATCGACTTTTAGCTGAATTATATCTTTCAATAACATTACCATAAACAGAATCTTGATTAGAACCTTTATCAAAAAATATACTTTTATCTACATTTGAAATATCGATAAAATCTATTGTATTATCCGATTTTTTATATAAGATTTTATTGTTTGGATATACTATTGCATTATTAATAGGTAATAAAGTAGCATTCTTCATACATTCTTCTTCACCATGATAAACTGTTGAATAAACATATTTTATAGCTTTTAATTGAGCTTCCATTGACATAATTGCTCGTGCTAAATATAAAAAAGAAATTTTTTTAATACTATGAAACTTGAAATTTTAACATGGTCATTATTCTAGGTCAGTCTTTGTATTAATTTTCAACTCGTTCTTCTATTCCTTTCATTAAATGAATAGCTGATTCTTATATATATCTTATTTTAAAAAGCATGTGCCAAAAGAAGAAAAACATGTGTAAGTAAACGTTTTTTATCGTGACAGAGAAATGAAAGCACAGAACACAAAAATAATCTGATTATTACCAATGACGACTATCATATATATAATTTACACGTGGAATATTTTGTCTATTTCTCTGTTTAAAAAATTGAATACGCAATAACAACTACTGAATAGATTTATTTCGAAAATAGATGATCTATAGAACAGTCATATTACTAACTAAGTTTGTTTTTCTGTTTGTCACCTCTTGATATTGGATCAACCAAAGCGAATAGATAAATTGAATTTCTTGTATACGTGAAGAAAAATAGAGAAAATAACAGGTCAAAGACAATAAATTCTAAAGAGCGAAGAACAACATATATATCGATCATAAGAATATTCGATACATATATATATATATATATACATGTGATGTGATGGGAACTATACCATGAAAAGAGAATCAGAAAATTCTAAAGACAACTATGACTACATTGTACTATTAATAAACATGTCGTTCTATTTGAAAATGACATAGAAACGAATCTATATATATTGCATACGAATGAAGATAAAGATAAATATTGACCAGACAGTATTATAAACAAGAGCTGATGCAATTTGAAAGATGATGAAATACGAGCAATAAAAGAAATTATGCAACGAAAAAATAGAAGATGATGCAAGATGAAAATGGCAAAGATAAACTAGCATATTTGAAGGAAACAGAAAGTGAAGATGTTAGTACTCGTTCAGGTAATGAACATCAACCGTGTTCTTCACTCTCTGATTTTATATTTTAAAGACACGAGTCAATCAAGGTGAAAACAAAATAATGGAAGAATAAAGATATATGCTATAGTACGACGTTTTAATAGAAGATGCGTACCATCCTCTAATACTAATGCAAACTTATTTTTCAAGATTTTATTCCACTAATTTCCATCTATATTTTCGTGATTATCAATATACAATGAGAATATCCTATAATGACTTCATATTTGATAAGTACCTGTTCTTTACTAAAGTAATATTCTATTATTCTATCCTATATAGGTTTTCTTTTTAAGTAAAAATTATTTATAGAAAAATTTGAACGGCTTAAAAAAAATGAACAATAAATTTAAAATTGGTTAAATAAAAATTTCACTCCTAACAAACAAAATAGTTATACACGTTTTATATTTGATATGAATTTCTTAATATTCAGTAAGGATGTTATGATCGTGAGTCATGATATATATATTTATACCATGATACGCTTTTTTACTTCGTTCTGTTTCTCTTCTATCCACGTGTAATAATTAAACTTGATCGCTTAACATACTGTATTTTTTTTATTTCTTTTGTTTTCCTTTGAATGACGTCTGTCTTTCAGAAGACGGATACATATTATATATGCTTTTTAATATTCTCGTTTTGTTTTGACTCAAAGTTGTCTATTTTCGTAATAACTTTTCAAATTCATTTTTTACAGGTTATCTAAAGTAATTTAATATATAAAAATTAACTATAGCAAAGTTCATTATTCAAAGAGATGTGCCTTTCAATTTTATTAAAATACGATGCCAACGAAAGAGGAATGATTGAAAATGCCGTTGAATTATAAATCACTTTTAGATGTATATTTATCTAGAGATGATCGAATATTTGTTAATCATAATAGAATGGGAATTTTTCTCGTTTATCAGTATTATTTTAAATGGAATACTTTTTTTTTATAGTTTTATGTGATATGAAAATTTTCATACATTTATCTATTCATTGTTATTGGTTATTTGATCGTATTAAATATCAGTCTAAAATTGTTATGACTATTTTATATCGATGTTCAGATATATATATATTTACTTTTCGTAGTTAATCTTAGATGACGTTTTATGATATTTTTAAGTAAAAAAAAATCATGCATCATATTGTATTAACTGATATAAATGACGAATATGATATATATATTATTTAATTAATAATCAATAGAATCGACTTACAGAGAATAAATAATACAAACTATTATAGCTTTGTTTCCTTCATAGCTATATTAGAAACAAGGTAACTTATTAGATGTAAAGAAAACACGAGATGATCAATACTCATTTTTAATCTAAGTATATACAGTTTTCATAAATAAGAACCTTTGTTATACAGATTAAATGTTGCCGAAAAACAATTTTATTGTAAGAATAAAATACATAAATTAATATCGAATTACAACATACAATACGATATGATATTTTACTACAAAGTTACAACAATTAGTGTTTATTCTGTGTACCAAGACCTACATTAGTAGGATTTAATCTTAGATGGATTATTTATGATGTTACACTGACACTATTCTTGCCTGTAAAAACAGCTCGGACTTGTTTGCGAATGCCTTGACTGGAAATAAGTGTAACATAGAATTGTGTACTAAAAAATGTATATGATAACAATCGAATAGTTTCAGCGAATACATTTTCCCAAGCTACGTATTCAGCTGATTTGGACCAATTGGCAGTAATACTGGAATAAATTAATAAAGCTGCATAAGGAATAAATGCTGGTATAGCAACAAATGTTTGCCATAATAACATCATAGTAAGTTGTTTGTCAGTATTTCGAAGAAATGCTAAATTTGGTTTGGGCTTGTTGTTTAATTCACCATTAACTGCCGGCACTGCTTGTCTTTGAATAGTTTCTCGAACACTTCGCACCATTAAATAAGATATTATTAATATAATAATAGGGGGACAGATTCCCGATACTATAGATTCATAATAGTTATCAAAAATGGCATAAGGACCTGGTAGAGCTTCACAACTTCCATATGATGTACTATATAATACAAGTCGAGAACCTGTAAGTAAAAACCATCCGATTGTACAACCTGCTACTACTTTATAAGCAAGTTTAGTACGATTACTCCATTTTCTTAATGCTAAAATAAATAATAAAATAAATTTGAAGCGAGTATATATGTACTTTACCTGGTGAACGTTGTGCTTCTAAAAGTCGATCGAGTGAAGCTAACATGAATAATGTTAATGCAAGTATATCTGTATACATTGAAGCAAAATAACGTATTTTACAAATACTATCAAATCGATTCATAATCGATATTTTAAAACCTTTTTGAAGTACTCGTGTTAAAAGTACTAAATTAAAATTGATAATAACAACAAATGCTTCTGCTAAGAGATAAACCGTGCATGCACGATTACGAAATGCTTTAGAAGAAAACACAATAATATTGCCAAATGTGCTTAGATTTCCTGTGATTAAAATAAAGCAACCAATCCACATATTAAGTTGATAAGGTACGTTTAATAATGTACTACTAACAGTGCTTTTGGCTGTAAGATTATTCATATGTAATTTGAATTATTAAATTATATCTAGAAAAAAGAAATTATCGATTAGAATATTTTCATCTGTGTGTTGATTAATATAGAAGATGATCTTTGACAAGAATAACATGATGATTCCACATTTATTCTTATAAATCTTCTCAACACAGTATCTGATAATTTCATTTTTATATAATTATAAAATGTTAATCATTTTACAATAGAGGATACAGTCAACTGAAAGAAAATATTATGTCTATATATAAGAGATTAGGATAATTCTATGAGTTCTAGGTGAAAAGGAAATGAGAATTTACGAAGAGTTTTTACGACAAAGAAACTTACGTATTTTATTTTTTGTCCGTGCTTGAATGTGTACCAAACGTGAAATGATGAGTTGTTTGTAAGTAAGTGTAAAAAGAATCAGTATTTATACTTTCTTTTTCAAAAGAAAAAAAAGAATGACGTCGGTACTTTTTTTTGTTTTAATCAGTTTGACAATCGGAAAAAAGTACATGTCTGTCCGATTGTCAA